AACTGTAACTTTGAGAGCTATACTAACTCTATAAATCAAAAAGGGAAAAAAGGATGTTCCAAGGGATTCGCGATTATTTGTATTCACTTTTTACGAATTTAACGAGTGTGAGAAGCTTGATATTAATTATCCATGTATCTGCAATTTGTCAAATTTAAAGAGCTATGCTAACTCTATAAATCGAAAAAAAAAAAGAAAGAATGTTCCAAAAAGTTTCCTCGATATTCAAAATTATTTGTATCCACTTTTTACGAGTTTAACCAGTTTGACAATTTTGACAATCGTTTCGTGTATCCATGAAATTTAATCTATAGTTTAATCTTATATTTGTCGAAAATAAAGGACGTCCTGAGATTTTGGAGGAGAAGAAATGAACATCGTGTCGACGACAGAGATGGCAAACGTTTGGGGATCGGAAAATCTTGCATGGTCTACGAATTTACCGCGGGAACGAGGCAAGCCATTGTTTCGATCGGTCCAGGAGGACCCTTCGACCCTCAACGTCAATGAAATCGCTAGTGATCTGTGGCGAGAGCGATTCCTATTTTTGTACCCTCGTCGGGAATCGATATCGTCGCGTAACGCGTTTCGGTGGCAGTGGATCGCGTCGAAACATCTTTATTCCGACCCATAAAGATAAATTCGAACGATTGCTGGGGAAAGTCCAGTTTGCAGAGTGGAAAATCTGTCGAAAGTTCGAGACCCTTCTCACGAAACAGTCTAGGCTCCAGTCCCTGTGACTCAGGAGTTTGTGAATGAAAAGACCTGGAAAGATTTATCTGTACTAACCCTGAGGAATTTTATTTGCAAGTTTAATTCGCCTGCTCCTCAAACTTCCCTCAAAATTCCGTCACTTTTTAGCTGAACTCACTACTTACCGTGGATGGTACGATTCTTAACACCAGAACTATTAAAGTGATCAAAACGACCACTTACAATTTACAATTTTCGTTGGAAATTTCGTAGATGCGAAACAGTGCATTTTCAGAGACTTCAAAGATTCTTTTTTTTTTTTTTTGTAAAATACATAGATAAAAGTTTGCGCAAGTTATTGTTACCATAAAGCTTTTCTATTTTTTTCACTTTAATGTCGCTGATGGATATTTTACGCTTCGGTCGTCGGTAATTCTAGTGTTAACAGGCGTTTTATAATAGAAACGTACGTACTTCACATTGCATAAAGTACTAAATTTTCGGCCTCTGAAATACAGTGGCTGCACGTACTCTTGCTTCTCGCTAAATTGCATTTCCATTGCTGCTAAATGTTTCATCCCTCCCACGGTGTCAAGTTTTTGCAATCACGAAAGAGTAAAGTATCAAAAGCTCAATGATACAGAAACTACATACACACGTTCACAAAGTAATTCGCCGGACGAAGCGAGAAACTCGTACCACAGTCGACCAAATGTTCCCGCATAATCTTGAAAGCTTTATATGTTCAATCGTCGACGATATTGGCCCGGCTCGCGCCAAGAAGGAACAAAAACAGCGAAAACACCGGGCCATTTAGCCATTTTAGCCGTGGCCCGTCGTTGTTTCAATAACAAGCGTTCGCAAAACGCTCGCCGGTCGTTATTAACGCAATTTCGCTCGTTTGATTCAGCCTTGAAAGCCTTCGTCCGCCATTATCGTCCATAACTCTTCTTTTCGCCGCGCGTCGATGCTTTTAACGCGGCAAACACGCCGGTAAACGCCATTAATTTGCCCGCGCAGCGAGCCAAATTATCGTTGAAGGCCAGGGGGCGGGACTCGCAGGAACGTGAGCTGGAACCGTGAGCCGGAAGTGGAGGCTGCATGGACGAATTGTCCCGGTCGGCTCTTAAGCCATTCGGAACAGATGTTCCGAGCGACGCGCGCGAGCACAGGGCCAAACAGCCACCGAAGGACAGCGTTTCCCGCCGAGTTTCCACCGGGACACGAGCCAAGGACGCGGAATCACGTCTCTCACGGGTACCTAGGTCCATTGAACGCGTTCCACGCCGGGCAGCGTGGCGTTTATGCGATCGATCACGCCACGCTCCCGCACTTTGTCCTCCTGTCGGTTATCCGAATGCCTCTTTCTATCCTCTATCTACCTTCCTTCCTTTTTTTTTTTTTTTTCTTCTTTTAACCCATTAAGTTAATCTTTCTTCAATGAATTGATATTATAATCACGCTGTCGGATCTTATTCTTTTTAACAGATCGAGCGAAAGCGAATTTCAAAACATCGTTTTTCACAGACGTGGTTTTTATCTAAGCTCTTTGATTCTGGGAAATTCCAAGTATCGAAATATGTACAAGTATTTGGTGTCGTGAGAAGTTGTTGCTGGGTTCTTCTTTTTAATCCATTAATTTCACGTAATTTTTTTTCAATAAATTTATATATTATAATTATGTTATTAAATTTTATTTTTTTCTTTTTCGAGTGAAAATAACGTGAAAGTTCCAAGAAGTCGTTTCACAGACGTGATTTTTATCTCTGATTTTGGGAAATTCCAAGTACCGAAATATGTACAAGTATTTATGGTGTCGTGAGAAGTTATTGCTGGGTTCTTCTTTTTAATCCATTAATTTCACGTAATGATTTTCAATAAATTTATATATTATAATTACGTTATTAAATTTTATTTATTTTTTTCCCGAGTGAAAGCAAGTTCCAAGAAGTCGTTTCACACACGTGGTTTTTATCTCTGATTTTGGGAAATTTCAAGTACCGAAATATGTACAAGTATTTGTGGTGTCGTGAGAAGTTATTGCTGGGTTCTTCTTTTTAATCCATTAATTTCACGTAATGATTTTCAATAAATTTATATATCATAATTACGTTATTAAATTTTATTTATTTTTTTCCCGAGTGAAAGCAAATTCCAAGAAGTCGTTTCACAGACGTGGTTTTTATCTAGATTCCGTGATTTCGAAAAATAGCAAGATATATGTGTTTGTGATACGTCGTGAGAATTTATTGCTGGGTTTTTAACGAGTGTTTAATTTGTTACTGTAAACATCAGGCAGTTCCGAGGGATAAATTTCGACAAGTTGATTAAATAACGTTAATTAGTTTTCATCCATTTTTCTTTTACTCGTTCAATTCAGTTTTTTTTTTTTTTCCTTTTTCTCACGGAACTAAAACGGCAGGAAGACGAACGACTCGAATTTCGTTATTGAAAATGAAAGACTGAGAATTAAAATTTACTGGCGAATTTCACGTTTCGCGTTTGTACGTACAAATTAAATCGACGTGAGCAGATAAATGAAATCCTCTCACGGAGAAAGATTTACGTTCATCAATTTTCTAGCTTAGCGAAGCTAGAAAAAAATTCGGATTCTCCTTCGAATTCCAAACAAAATCTACGAAACGATAGATTCGATTGTTTTGGGCCATTAGGCGAAATGTGTTTGAAATTCGAAAAACGTTTCGAACGATTTCGTAGGAGGGGAGGGGAATGTTTCGCGCGACAAACTTCACGGAAGAGAGGAGAAGATAACAGGTACCCGATACGTCGGCTGGAATTGATCCTCCACTCACGTGATAGTGTTTGCGAAAAATTTTATTCTCTACCGACGTCGATGCGACGATATCACCGGAATCGGTAAATGCCCAGGCCGAGAGATTGATACGACGTCAAAGGATATTGATCTCTCTCTGCGAGAACGTATTGGAATCGTGCGACGATTCGACGAACAGCCTGTTTCTTTCACGTCGTGCACTTGACGCACGGTTTCGAGAATTATTGAACATTCAGTCGACTTCCATTAGAGTATCCTTCGGCTTTGAAAGGGGAGATAAGTCCTCGTCCAACGTGGATAATTTTTATTAATTCCATCCGTGAGTGGTGGAACCGCGCGAGACGATGCCGTTGTTCAAGCTTTCGCCGCGGAATTCGATCTGTCGTCCCTTTCGTTTTCGCGATCCTCGTGAAAATTTTCTGAAAAATTCTTCTCTATCCCGGCGTAACGGAACAACGTCCGAGTCGTTTCTCTCTGAATTCTATCGATAGAGCTCTATCTTTGCGTCGGAGAACACTTGATACTCGAAATAAATTTCTTTTCCCTAGATTGAATCTTTCGATTCTTCAAAAAATCTAGTGAAACAGTTATCAGTAATTTTCCCAAAAAGCGAAAGCTTTTGATCGTAACCAAAATAAAAAGAATACAGGGTAGCAATTATTTTTTCAACTGAAGTGTCTTTGATCACGAATAATGGTTATTAGTTTCGTTGCTAATAACGATTATTGACGAGAGGAATTTATTTCGATGCTCTTTTTTCAATATAATTATCACCACGAGATTCATGTCAGCAAATATCTCTGTGATTCTTTTAAAATATTTTAACGCGACTGCGGAGAATCGTTTGGAAGCGAATTTTGTTCTTTATTGCGAACGAACTAGAGTTTTCCTCATTGGTAACTGCTATGAAATAAATCTCCCTCGTCGATGGCTATTACACAAGCCAGCGCGACAGAATTTCTGTCATCAATGAACAACGAAAAAAATATTCTGTCACTTGTAATTAACCAAAGTACAAAGTATAAGAGTGGCCAAACAATTCATACGATAACCATATAATTTATAACCAATTATAATTTATAAATCCGAGTAAGTTTAAAATTTTCCTCGCATTTTCTGAGATTCATATCCTCAACTCAAATAACGTTCCTTGTTTTTTTTCTTTTGGAAAAATTTCCAGGAAAATAATTATCATCTTTGATCATTGAGCCGAACAACTGATCTACCTAATACGACAAACTCTCAGCCACAATTCCCGCAGAAATCCAGCGAAAGCACTTTCGCTATCGCGGCGAGAGGGAACACGCGACTATCCCATCCCTCGCAACTCACAGTCGTGAGCTCGTCCAATTCCCGGCGAGGCGCGTTCCCCTGTAGACGGTAAACCTACCGGAAGCCCTTCAATTATCCCGCGCTCTTACGTGATCGCGGCGTTTCCTTAATTAGCCGCTCGCGCCGCGATAGAAAGGGAGTGTGTGATCGTCGGAGAAAAAGCAGGATGGATAAGGCTTACCGGGAGCAGAGGGCGATGAGGCTCGGTCACGTTGTGTTCCCTGTACAGGAGGCACGAGGCGGGGAACGTGATCGCTCCTGCGACCACCATGTAACCGGTCAAGACCACCAGGATACTCGCCGGCCCTTGTACCAGATGGATCACCGGCAATCGAACCAGCAAGCACCAGACGCCGCTCGACAACAACGTGCACGACATGGTGAGGAGGGACGTACCGCCGAAGAACAGGCAGAAACTCACCAACGACCTGCCCCCTTCATGAACCTGCGTATCGTGAACCGATCTCTGAATAAGCTCTCGAGGTCATCGAGATCGAAATTATCGAGATTTGGAATTGATTGATTGTTAAAATTACTGAGATATGGATTCTTTTGTTTCGAATTTTTACATTTAATTTCTTTAAAACGAAACTATTGCTTATTTTACTTACTGCTATCTACTTTCTTGGCGAAACTATTTTTTAGTTTAGTTAGACTGGAGCACGTGACTGCAACCAGTGACAACGAAGAATTGTCGACAATTGAAAATGACGTAGCTTTGTAGAGAAAGATCGTGCAACTTGGTGTCGAATTTGATTCTTCGAAACAGTGATTAAGAATACTATATTTATTAAAGATCGTGCAACTTGGTGTCGAAATATTCTTCGAAACAGTGATTAAGAATACTATAATTATTAATACATATACAGGCTCAGTAGTCAATTAGTGTAACAATTGAACTTCCTATGAAAATTGCTTGGACAAATATCTTTTTGTTGTTAAAACTATCAGTCGATGGAACAATTCAATTATCATTTCTAATCGTTTAAACAGTAATGTTATTTTAGTAATATTTTTAATAGCTTTAATCGTTACAGTTTTGTTACAACGATTACAGTGATCGTATAATAATGACTAAAGTGTCCTACTGGCTGAAATTCTCTTTGCCGAAAAAGACAAAGAGGATACATAGCACAAATTGTTCTCAATCAAAAGTAACTCACACTGATTCGATCACGAGCTTCCCATATGCGATATTCTCGTATTCTGACGTTTCATTGTAACCAGTATTTATACTGAAGTTTGATCAAATTATAGCACACGTGGATATGTGCTTTAAGTTTAAATCACGCAATTTCAAGTCCTGATAAAGGCGCAAATTCGTTTTCTTCAAAAATGATTTTGTATACTTTTTCATCAAAAAACTGCAAAGGCTCGAACGTGTGTGAAAACAAATGATAAGAGCACGCTTCAGATAACAAACGCAGAGATACAATGACCCATCACGCGCAGTGAAATTCTAACAAAGAAATCTATAGATAGATAGATCAAAATCCTAGATAGGCTCTATCTCTCTCTCTCTCTCTCTCTCTCTCGTTTTCTCTATCTCCAGGTGAATACTGAATACATTACCGACGGTAATGCAGTTCGCTCATAAATTAACATACGCCAACCATGAAGTCGTCGTTCCGTGAAAGCTCCTTAAACTTTCAATGGACCGCGAAAACTTCCCGGACGAAATGAAAATTTCCCACGAGCCCGTCCAACGCCTCCATCTTACAATCGAGCCTCCTCTTTATTCTTACGCGAGAGCCTCCCACGTTATTACGAGTTCGTTAAACTATAGCCTGGAAGGATCTGCAGCTCCGGGTTATCTGCATCTGTTCCATCGATTTCGCTCTTTGAATTGTGCAAGAAACAATCTCCGCGCGCCGACGATTGTATCGAAGTTGACTGCAAGTGAAATCATGTGTGTTCGACGAAAGGAAATTTTTTTTTTTCTGAAAATATGTTGAGTTATTTTACTTCTCAATTTCGATCTCTTTGTAAAATAATTATTGTGGTGGAACTTTGGTCTCTTCCTGTTAGACAGAGACTTCTTCCTGTGTTTAACGATTGATCGTGCCTTAAGCGTGTGATTGCGAGAGATCTTAGTGATCTAGAGATTAATGTCTTTTAGTATTGGGACTTTTTTCTGTGAATTCCTAATTGAATAAATCTGATTTATCTTTATTTTCAACCACGTAGGTACCTATGAAAGTACCTATTTGCATTACTTTTACCTACTAAAATTGATATATGATGTATGTAACAATATAAAAAAAATATGTAAAATATATAAATATAGAAATAATATAAATTAAAATATAAAAAATATATAAAATATATAAATTATAAAATTATGTATAAAATATATAAATTATAAAATTATATATATAAAACAATCAAACTTCAGAGTCTTCAGAGCGACAATTTCTATTCAAGTTTGATCTCTCGTGAAAAGTTCCAACAAAAATTTTAAATACCAAAGACACGTGTTTCTCGGTAAATGAATTTTTCCGACATTCGATAAATGTTCATTGGCGCGAAATGGATCTCCTCCACTCACAGCAAGAAAGGAACGCAAAATACGCTCGTAACAAGTATTGCAGATGGAAACAAAGATTCGAGAGTCTCGAAAATGGAGAACGTCTCGTTCGAGTCTTCGGGGGCGTTGAGACAGATGGATCGTAAACTTCGCTCTCGTCCTAACGTCACAGTTTCACCTAGATTATGATGCGATAACGCGAATGCAAAAAGCGCGTAGAGAAATCTGGAACAGTACGTTGTTCGCCGCGTCGAAAATGCGAATCGTTAAAATCGCGGCTTGTGTTGCGACTTTTGCCGCCAAGATTTCGCCACCGTCAGAGAAAATGCCGCGTGCAGACAGTTTCTGACAGCTGTCTCGCGATATTTTTCTACCTTAGAAACATTTACGACAACATGAATATGTTTCTGTTCTTGGACGTGATGAATTGGACTTGTGCTTTTACAATATAACACGTTCACGCGCGTGATCAATATTATTCGTATTACGTGTACGATCGTATCATGCACACATACGATATAACGTGTTATAAATAATTTTCAACCAAAATTTGATTTAAACCAATTCTGATTTAAACGAGTCGAACAATTCGACAGAAGCTACAAACCAGAAAGGACGCTCGAGTACCCGGCAATTCTCAAAACATACGCCTTGCGAACGCTTACAATTAGCTTGAATGACTCTCGGCCGCGATCGAGCGTGATCTATCCTCGGGCAGGATATCGCGAGCGACATGTTGTATCGATCCCCTGATATCTCGTACAAGACCTCGCGCGTGTATGCGTTAAGCCGTTATGTCGCGTTTATGGGTATTTGACGTTAATTTTGATTCGGTCGAATTAGATCAACGGTTGAGAGGCAGCCGTGAGAAGCAGCGATGGCCCGTGGTGCGCATCAACCTAAGTCAGTCAACGTGTCCACGTATCCTCCGGCTACAGCTGCCGTCTCCTCAAATATTTACCATCCCCTTAAGTACAAAGTTTACGTTCCACCTGTTACAGTCGTATACTCTCTACCGCCGTAACCAGCGATAAAACCAATCGATTTGAATCGCCACCAGAGATGGCGATTCATTCATAGAGGCGGTTGAAGAAAGAGGTCGAAGGATGAGAAGTTCGCGGCTCTTTGATTTTGCGGTTGGCAAGAGGATGAAACGGATAAGTTTATTAAGGGGCTGTGATCGGTGCATTGGTATTCAATTGAAAGGAATTTCAAAGAGACACGAAGGAATCGATGGAAAGTTTCTCGATGTTATGTTGCATACGATCATTTCGAACTGCAGTTGCTCACATTCGAACGCTAAATACTTGGTAAAATAAAACGAAGCTGGCTTTATTTCAAAGCCTATATTCTCAAAATACATCATTTTAAGGTGAGAATGTGGAGGCATTTCTTTCTCTCGAAAATAGTATAAATTGTCATAGTATGTAAAAACGTTAAAATATTTTTTTCACGACTGAATTTGCAGTGAATTTGAAACCTGTATTTTCAAGATTTCACATCGTTCATTTCATTCTAAGGTAAAAAAAAAATGAAGGCATTTTTCTTCGCGAAAATGGCATGAATTGTCGGTAATATGTAAAACCATTAAAATATTTTTCTTATTGAAGATTGGAGTCTGCTGTTCCATTGAAACACGATGTACGATTATTCTTGACTATTTTATTAAATATCAAATTTTTTCGGAAATGAAAACGCGATTTCTTGAATTTAAGCTGAAATTCAAAGTTCAATAAAATGGCCAAAAAAAAATCGCGTATCAAGTTTTAGAAGGTCACTGTAAAGAGAATCTTTACTACAATTTTCAAATCCATTGCAGATGAAAAAAAAATTTATTTACATACCATGACAATTTAGAGAAATATCCTTTCACTCTCTCACTCGCTGCGTGATGTAAAAGCATCTTAGAATAAAATGAATGGTGTATTTTCAAAGTGGAAGCTTCAAAACAAACTCACAATCAGATTTATCGTTGTATGATACTGTTTTATGAAATTGCAATAATTTAAATGTTTACTGTTCGAATATTTAACTGTATTAATGTGAGTATCTTGTGAGGTACGATACGAAATCATATACCACAGAATTTAAAAAGAGATTTAATACGTAGATTTTCAAAGCTTTGAAATAAACTCAGGTTTGTCGTTGTATGATACTGTTTTCTGAAACTGCGATAGTTTAAATATTTACTGTTCAAATATTTAACTCTATTAATGTGAGTATTTTGTGAGGTACAATACGAAATTATATACCGCGGAATTTAAAAAGAGATTTAATACGAAGATTTTCAAAGCTTTGAAATAAACTCGGGTTTGTCGTTGTATGATACTGTTTTCTGAAATTGCGATAGTTTAAATATTTAACTGCATTAATGTGAGTATCTTGTGAGGTACGATACGAAATCATATACCGCAGAATTTAAAAAGAGATTTAATACGAAGATTTTCAAAGCTTTGAAGTAAACTCGGGTTTGTCGTTGTATGATACTGTTTTCTGAAATAGCGATAGTTTAAATATTTAACTGCATTAATGTGAGTATCTTGTTAGGTACGATACGAAATTATATACCGCAGAATTTAAAAAGAGATTTAATACGAAGATTTTCAAAGCTTTGAAATAAACTCGGGTTTGTCGTTGTATGATACTGTTTTCTGAAATTGCGATAGTTTAAATATTTAACTGTATTAATGTGAGTATCTTGTGAGGTACGATACGAAATCATATACCACAGAATTTAAAAAGAGATTTAATACGAAGATTTTCAAAGCTTTGAAGTAAACTCAGGTTTGTCGTTGTATGATACTGTTTTCTGAAATTGCGATAGTTTAAATATTTACTGTTCAAATATTTAACTTTATTAATGTGAGTATCTTGTGAGGTACCATACGAAATCATATACCGCGGAA